GAACATTCTTCTTTTTATTGCACATTTACTTTGCACTCTTCCTCTTTGTAGAGACAAACTCTTATGGATTGTGTTTTTCCCTCTAGTGTAGGAAAATATGTTGAGATTGTCTAGCTAAAGTATATGTTGTGTGTTTTCATGTATTTTTTTAGTGTTTATGTTTTTCATATTACTTGCTGCCTCATTGTTGCTTCATGTGTACTTTGAAATTAATGAACTTGGAAACAGTGTCACACAGTTCAGCTCTCAGCCTCGAGTCAACACATAATATCTATTATTTATTATTTATTTATGTGGCTTTTTTACATCATCTTTAGACACATTTATTTTCACATCCTGCTTTAAGTGAGATGTTTGTTTCACACATTGTCTCCTTCTTTTGGCTGCGTATGACGTTATAAATGTGATGCCAAGTCACACAGCTCACCTTGTAAGCACTGGAGACCCGCTAATTTACTGGTAAACCATTTCTTTACCAGGACAGCGAGTATAAAGTTAGCCTGAAGCGATTATGCCCGTACAGGGAGAAGAAGTAAAAGACAACACCAAAGTCCCAGGATAAAAATAACTAAGGATTATTGATTTGTGAATCATTCCCAGCTACTGCAGAATACAAGAGTAAAATAATGATGCTGGAAGTGAGCACAATAGCTCACCTTTAGATATTTACAAGTGTTGCCATCTTCACTTTTATTAAATGAGTATATATTGAGTGTATATAGACAGTAAAACAGTAAAAGGTTTGTAGTACATCTTTGTATCTGATGGTGTAAATAAATGTGCTTTGTGTTTTTGTAAAGTCAAAGTCAGAAAAAGAAAATCATCAGCTTGTGCATCCAGTTTTTTTCTCTTTTGATGCAGAGCAGTCCTGGCATTTTACATTATACTAAGTACACACCATAAAACCCATGGACAGTAGTGCTTAGGAGGACCCACTAAATTGCAGTCCTTAGCAAAAAACCAGCAGAAAGAGGGTGGTGTTAATTTGATCTTGTCAAGCTAACCAAAGTTTAGCATTATAACAGTGTGATACAAATTCAATGGTTTCTACTAAAAGCATTTTAGTTTGCTGTTATTACTTCCAAGTGACTGGTTCCTCCTCATATAGTTCTCTCTAAAACATCTCCAAGGGTCTTAATTGTAGTGTAGTGCTATCTTAAAATCACACAAAAAGGCAAAGCGCTGAAGTTTTGCACAATGTTTTTATGTCTGTGAAGGTTCTCAGTCATCCAGGTCATCGTAGTCAAAGGAGCTTGCAAAGAAAAGCGTCTGGACTTCTTTAAGTTACTTGAA